TCACTAAAGTGATATATTTTCCTCCGATTTGGCACTAAAGTGATCCGAAAAAAAGTTATGACACCAAAGTGATCTTTGTACACAACTTATGGCACTTCTAGTGTCCTTTTGCCTTTTTTGGACAGTTGGAAATTAGATTTTTATCCTTTATAGTGATCTCCGTACACAACTTATGGCACTTCTAGTGTCCTTTTACCTTTTTTGGACAGTTGGAAATTAGATTTTTATCCTTTATAGTATCTCATAATAAGTCATTAGTGTATGCAAATTTTCAATGAATATATGATGTCACCAAAATAAAAAGAGAGTCAATGGTGAATTGCAATCATACCATATATACCCAAGTAAATTTTTTCTCAAGTCATAAATAATTACTCGTTATTATTCCTTATATTTCACAATTAGAAGATTGCATCTAGACCTATCAAAATGAGTCATGAACCCATTTCTTATTTTTAATGGATTGGGTTGTTATATGGGTTAGTTCTTCATGGGCCATAAATGAGTTTAATATGGATGTTAAATGAATTCACAATTTATTTGACCCAACTCAATGTTGACTCTTCGCTCTTTCTTAATCTCACGTTCGCTTATTTCGAGCTTTCACCTTAATTTGTGTATGAGTTTTCTAATTTTGGTTAAATATAGAAGTTTTTTATCAATATGGATAGGGTCATGTATGGGTTAGATCAACCTAACTCGACCCACCTGTTTGACAAGTCTAATTGCAACGCGTATCTCTTATGTTTAAAGTTTTTTATTATTAAAAGTTCCTAAAAGTACATCCTAGAAGTTCTTATGTCGAGAAATTTGAAATTTCTGGTTGGGCCACAGCCTATGCATGTAAATGTAAACTGTTTTGAAAATTGGGGCCTGAGTATAATTTATAGAAAGTTGGGGGGCCAGGGCCCCTCAACTCGCAATTCAGAAAATTGATCAGAGAAAGTTGTCTCCAAATTTTTCTCGTTTAATTAGAGATGGAGGAAAAAAAATTAGAAATGGAAGGAAAATAGCCCACATCGTGAATCGAACCCCCTAGTCTGTTTTTTCTTTGATTGGATTTCATAAAAATTGGGGGAGAAGGAGCAATGCAAATAGTGAGTGTATAACAATCCTGTTCCTTCTCAATTTCCTTTGACACGAAAGTATCAGTAAAAAAATATGGAAAAATTATACTTTTCATCTATGTTACTTTTCTAATCTAAGTCCCTGCATTTTTAATTTGTTTGATAAGATCCTACTTTTATAAATTTTCTAATCAAATCCTTCCGACACTAAATTCAACTGATCTGGCCATCCGACTACGCCAAAGTATAATGCGGATAAGAATATTTGGATGCCCACATGTCATGTATGAAAATTTAAGCCCACAAAACATCGGAATACAAGTGGATAAAATATAGCTGATGTGGATGTCCGGGCGGACGTTCACATTGGAAAAATGTTATCCACATCACGCTATGACGTTGTCCGACGGGCACGTCAGCTGGAATTAGTCGGATTTGATGTCAAAGGAATCTAATTAGAAATCTTATGAAAGCAAAGGGGCTTGATTAAATAAATTAATTATACAAGGGTTTCATCTGGAAAATGCCTAAGAAGTGTGGGAATTTAAAGTAGAAATATTCCAAAAATATGTTCTCATTTCATTTAGGAACATAACATGACAATTGTCAATTCTTGTTTGCAGTGTACTTTTTCTATGATTACTAAGCAATGAATTGAAACAATCTCTCTCTTTTTTTTTGCCAAAATTGAAATACTCGTATCGTTCTCTCTTTCCAAAAAGGCGACCATGACAGACACGGATGTTACATAAGAAAGCCAGAATCAACCCTACTTTGTTCTAGCCACGAGTGAAGTCAAGGTCCGTTTATTTTGCGAAAAATATTTTGTTTTTCTTATTTTTTTTATTATGGTTTAAAAATATCAAATTATTTGTTATTTCTTTTTTCTTTTTTCTTTCTTTTTCTTTTTGCTTCTTCCTTGGCTAATTGCTGTAGGGGTGAGCAAGACAGACCGTCCGCCCGGTTGTTTCTAGGAGTGCCGGTCCAGTTGCTGGTTCATAAAAGTGGAACCAGTGTCCAGACGACCAACCGAAGTGGACCGGACAGACTATTTCTTCAAAAATTTAAGGAAAGAGAGCGGTATAAATGGTCTTACTGATTTGCTTCGCTCCCATTAGTGCTTAAATCTCTCACCCTCTTTATTTTTATTCATAGTTTCCTTTTATTACTCCCTATTGACCGACCTTACCCATTATCTTCCCAAGAGAATATCCCTTTTTGTATGCTTTTTTACTCACAACCAGATTCCCTTGCCAATTTGTTGCCAAAATAAAATGGAGACAATCTCATTTGCTTCCCTCTTCGATCACTGCCGCATTTGTTGCCCCTTTTTACATAGTCAAGAGGAATCAATTCCTTTGATCATGCTAGCCGAAATTTGCCGGAGAAAAGCACGAAAGATTTCTCTGATTGATTGGTTGGACATTTTTTTCTTTTTGCCAGAGAAAAGCTGAAATCTCTTGCCCTTTTGCTTTTTTAATTTCATCTTCATGTTATACGTGTGACCGGTTCCATTGGACTGGACTGAAATCGGATCCGATCAAAAACCAATCACTCCTAGGTCGCTGGCTTTAGGCAAGGCTTGATGTCGTCTGTGGCCGATTGCCGACCCCAACGGGGGCGGCAACTGGCCAAGGAAGAAAAATATACATAAAAATAAAATTAATTAAAATTTAAAAAAAATGCGATTTTTTTTTATAATTTTCCCTATCAGATTTTCTTTATCAAACGACTAAAAATACTTTCCACGTCTTTTTTAGATTTTAGCCAAACACCAAAAAATGAAATCAAATTACTTTCGAAAAGTATTTTCTAGAAATGATACATTTTTCATGAAATAAATAGGCTCTATAAGAAAATACTAATAATAACTAGTAGTTTACCGAGCCACTAGTAGTAGCTCGATCTTGGCTCGGTGAACTAATTCAGATCGATTCACCCGATTTCAAGTCGAGCTAAGGTCAAGTCATTCGAGTATTCCATCAAGTCGAGCTCCGGCTCCCATATACTCAACTCGATAGGTTCGCGACCTTGATCGAATTTCTATTAATTTTTCCAAAAACATATTTCATAATTATAAAATTCCTCACAATTACATTATATACCCAGGTACATATAACATGCGTGGGGAACTATTTATTCGAATGGCGCTCCAATCGAGCTTCGAGTGCATCGACCTTCCGGCACGAGGCTAGCGCAGCCACGTGTCCGTATTTCCTTCCCACGTGCCGTTAGCGTGGAGACGGATGCAGCCAGCCACGTGTCCGAGTCTCAGCGAATGGGCGGTGCCGAAACCAAATTTTGGAAAATTGGGCTTTACGTTTTCCCATTGGCCGGAGCGCCTCGTGATGCGATCGGGACCGTCCGATGTGCGGTCGCCGCCTCCGCTATCCAACGGTGGGCCTTCGCTGGTGTGGACGGGACGTTGCGATCTCAATCTGGCCGCGCATCTCGACGGCTACGACGCCGCAATCTCCCACGAGTCGCCTAAGAACGCGTGCCGTCCACTGATTAAGGTTTGCCGCACCTTAATCATTCTTTTGTTTGACCCTTCATCAATTTTCCATTGCGTCCATGATTGGAGATATGCCTTTGATCGACGATTCTTACCAATAATTATGGATTTTATTTGATAATTCTATTAAATCTATGTATCTCTTAAGATTGCAAGTGTATCTCTATCTTAATTATCTTGATCAATAATTATTACCTTCAATAGTCATCTTATAAAGCCTATAAACAGGCTGATGCTCTCTTCATTATACGTATTAAAATACGCGGAAAATTCTACAATTCACTTTTCACATTATTCTTAACTATATTTATTCTAATTAAGTTTATATGGAGGCGACGTATTTTATTTTATTTTGTTGAAAAAGAAGTTATTGAAGTAGTGTAACTAATTAGTTTTCAATTATCTACGGTCGCCCCGAACATATTATCATTTCCTATACAAAACACTTTTGGAACTATTTAGGATTTTTAATCTAGACATGTTTTGATTTTCATGATGTCTCGTGTCACATACGCATGAATAGGTTGAGTAGCTTATAATCTAGCTCAGTAGCCTCTAAACTTTGGCTCTTTTGGAAGTCGCGCACTAAGTTCTATAAGCTTTCTACCCACCTTGTGTGCTTGAGTGGACTTCCACTATACTTATTAAAATGTGTTATAAGCCCATTTTTTAACTCATATTTGATGGATTGAGTTGCTATATGAGTTAATTATATACAGTAAATATAGCATAAATGTGTTTACAATGGTAAAATCGAAAATAATATGGATATTAAATTAGTTCACAACTTACTTAGATACAACATATCTCTATTTATGACTCTCTCTTCACTTTCTCTCACCCTCACTCAATTTCGCGCCCGCTTACTCCACCCTCTCACTGCAATTTCGTGCAAAATTTTTAGCAATTCAGACATGGATTACTAGATTTGTATTGCATGGAAATTGATCAATTTGGATCGGGCCATTTTCGACCCGATCCAAACACGAATCTGACCCACCCGTTTGACAGGTCTAGCTTCTACCGATAAGTTTTGCTCACACCTCTATCTTCTCTCATCCTCACTTCGTTTGTTAAGAAAGAATTTGATCTTCGCAAGAACAAGTCTATACGAAGTTACTTCGCGCCCGACGGAAGAATTCACACGCGCCAAATAAATAAATAAAAAAATACACGACACCCAATTTTGAATTGGACTACCAAAAGTCATGTTGAGTACGCAAGATAAAGAAAACTTCGACCTTAATTTCAGTTGTTCTCGGTAATATCTTTGAAAAGCAGTTCTTTATATTATCTTCGACATCCACGTGAATCTTAGGGTCGCTTGGCAAGAACGTCAAAAGAAGAGGCAAACGTCACCAACAAAAACCACTTTCTCTTCTTTCTAGAAGGGCCCCCGACTTCCTTCCCTCCCATCCTCGTATAAAAGCCACCCACCCAGAAACCCTAGTTTCAGACTCCCACAACGCCACCTTTCACCCCCCAGTTCTGCCTGCGCCTGCTGCAGAGAAGCTCTCTTCTTCGTCTTCTTCCCTCTTGGGTTCCAAGAAGACGAGCTTCCTCTGCAGCAGCAGCATCACCACCACCACCCCACGACACAGTCCTATCTCGCTTTCTATACATACAAATAAAGAACGGATATGGCTCGCTCTCTCGCCTCCTTCTCCAAGTTCGTCCCCGCTTCGATCGCGGCTGAGCTCTCCACCGCCGTTGCTCGGTGAGTGTTTTATTCCGCCGTCCTTGTTGACATCAGTACAGAGGACGTGATCCGATATGTGTCCGCGTGCATGTTGTCGTGTGATGGGAACTGAATGATGCCAAAGAAGATGATCGGTTCGGACAAAGGTGTTAACTGATATTGCGATTGCGTATGTAAAGAAAAAGCGAGTTTGATTAATTTGAATCGGTGAGGCCCGGCGAGTGTGCAACGTATATAGTTCCTCAAATCTCTTTGACGTTGTTTGATGAATTCGTTCGCAGGCGGGGCTTCGCGGCGTCGGCACCGGGCGCGGCGGCTGCCGGGTTCGGTAGGGGAGGGTCCAGGGTAGGCCTCGTGGGGAAAGTGGAGGAGATGGCCGCAATGAAGGAGCAGTCCGGTGGGGCCTCATCGGCGTGGGCGCCGGACCCAGTGACAGGGTACTACAGGCCGGTGAATCACGCGGCGGAGATCGATGCGGCGGAGCTCCGGGCGATGCTTCTCAATCACAAAGTCAGGACTCAGTAGAGGGAGGAACGGAGGGCTTGAGAGGAGTTTGGGTTTGCGGTCGTTTTGTGTCGAAACGTTTCTTTCGGTTGTCGTTTCATGTGTCGTTTTCTCCATGGTTGAAAGGTGGCATTATCCAAAAGTTTGACTCTCTCTCTCTCCCTCTGTATTGATTTAAACGCTTAAATCATGTTGGAGTTGAATCCTCTCTTCTCATCTAAAAGCAAAAGGTGCCTTTCTTTTCCTTTTATTGAAAAGATTGTTCAAACTTTAGAAAATTGAGAAGAAATTTATATGTGAATCTAAGTATGCACATTTGAATATGAAAAGTTTAGAGAGTTTCGAATCTAAAAAAGTCGAAACGCGCAAGTTGCTGATATGTAAAAATTAGAAGTCAATTTAAACAACTTGGTAACTTTATTAGCCAAATTCAATTAATACATCAAATGATTTAGATGCAGCATAGAAATCTAAAATCAAAATATCTTTTGACTCTAAATATCATTTTAAATAGGTGGAGGGATATATATAATAGCATATAAAATTTATTGTGTCAAACGATATGAGGCAATATTTCAACATGAATATATATTTATGTTTACATGTATTATTCCAATGAAGTGCAGACGTGGCACATGAACAGTTGGCCACGTGCACCTCACAAAATTTGTAAGTATGTCAATCGTACAATGAAATTGACAGTTCAATGTAATAGGTAATCGAAATCAATGGATACCCACATTGCATAATCCGCTTGAGTGAGTTTAAGAATAATCGGTGCAAAATTTTTCAGACGAAATGACATCTCTTGGTGCTAAATGTATCGTCAATCTCAATCGACCACATGCACCTCGGAAAATTAGTGGGATTCTACTCAAAGTATGTCAATTATACAAAGAAATTGACAGTTCAATGTAATAGGTAATCGAAATCATTGAATACCTACATTGCATAATCAACTTGAGTGAGTTTAAGAATAGTCGGCGCAAAATTTTCTAGATAAAATGACATCTCTTGGTACTAAATGTAATGTCAATCTGAATCTCATCCAATAATAATAAAGATGTGCAAAAAAATCGAAAACCACCCTAATCGGATCGAACCGATCAGTTCTAGGTTATTTTTATGGGAACTGAATGGTTTTTGGGTGAAATCGCTCACCTGGACCACCTGAACAGAATCGATACACACGCATATATTTTTAATTTTTAAGTTTTCAAAATCAAAACCCTAATTCCCTCATCTCACTCTCGGTCCCAAAACTCTAAACTCTATCGCCTCTCATCTCGCTCTCAATCTCAACTCAGTCGTGCCTTCGCCCGTTCCTCACAATCATGGCCTTGCCTCGCCTCCCTCTCTCACTCTCACTCTCACTCTCTCGCCTCATCTCGCTCTCAGCCTCAACTCAGTTGTGCCTCCACCTGTCCCTCACAATCATGGCCGCGCCTCGCCTCGCCTCCCTCTCTCACCCTCGCTCTCTGTCGCCTCCAGCCTCGTCGCTCCCTCTCCTATAAGTTCAAAACGCTGCTTCACCTCTTCAATTCCCAAATTAGCCTCTTTTTTATCTCCTCTCTCTCTCTTGATCTCTCGACTTGCACCCTCGTTTTTATCATCAGGTTATTGCCCCTCTCTCTCTCTCTCTCTCTCTCTCTCTAGAGCTTAATAGAGTGTCCGGGCTTTTGATTTGATGGCTAAAATGCTGCAAATGTTGGATTTCTCGGCTTGCTCGATGGGTTCGTCTATTATTGGTTAATTTACTTAACCTCTATATCGGATCTAAGGCTGTTAGGGTCCTTTCTTTTGTTGAGGTCGTTTTGGTGCTTCTGTTTCTGTGTTCTCTATAGTTTTAAGATGATTCGTTGGGATATAAGTAGTGTTGTTTACTGAAAGTTTCAAATCGTTCAATTTCTTCATTTTTGCTAGACCTATCAACTGGGTCCAAAACCCATTTATGAACCCATGTTTGTTTATATGGGTCGTTAATGGGTCACACCCTATTTCTCAGATCATCATAATAGGTTTTAAAAATAAGCAGGCCTAAATATATGTGTCATAAATATTATAATTTGAACCCATTTACAACTCATTTATCAATTCATTTTCTTTTCGTAAATGGGTTACTTCTTTATGATCTGCTCTCCCCCTATTCGCTTCCACGAATTAGCGCAGCCACCACCATTGCTATCGCCAACTCCGCGCCGCCCATCTGTCGCTCGTCCGACACTGCTCGCAAACCCTAAACCTACAACTCCGCCACCACCGCCTTGACTCCCGCCACTGGCGTGTGCTCACGAAGTTTGCTCCTCCAATTACGATCGAGTCCCTACTCGACGAATCAAGTCTTGTAGCTCGAAGGGAGGCCGATCGGTGCGTACTAGCCGAACTTCTCATACTCAACGGGGTTCGAAGGGACTGACGTTTTTGTCTCTGGGTATTGGGCTTTCTCTGTTTGCTTACTTTTTTGTTGAGTTTTCCTTGAATTTTTGTGTTCGAGGTGTGAGCTGGTGCTTTTAGCTGGCTAGATTGTTGAATTTGGATTTTGATAGTGTAAAATCATAAAGGGTTATAACCTGCCGTGTGCTTGACATGTTTGATTCAGCACACTTCTCAATTCGGTCATTCTTCCGGCTGAAGTATTTGGGTGATTTTCATTGTAGGTTATTTGGCCAAAGAGTGGTGACTTGCATTGAATAGAGCATATCGCTTGTTTCATTTTGCGAGCTTTCTGCTTCGCCTCTCCCTGTTCATTGGCAGACTGAGTGGGGCTGGAACCAAAATAAGGTATTATGGGTTTGTTGAAATATTCAAATGGAAACTACAAGAATTGACTTGCAGTTGCTGTGGGTAGTCAGCATTTGAATAGTTTTGTGAAAATTCTAGCGATATCAACTTTTAGGATTATGATGATAGCATGCTCTGATGGTAATTTGCAATTGATTCATGTGATTGTCCAAGTGTGCTTCCTTCTATTGACGCCCTCGAACAAAGATGTGGAGACTGAGTGGTACTTTGAGTTTGTTATCCGTTATGGTGGAGAAGATACTGAAATCATTTGTCTAATTCCGCTGTTTTACTGTATCCGTGCATCAAGCTTACTTTATATTGTGCACTTCTGTATGGGTATTAGATTTGCATAATTGGTAATTAAAATCGAAAAACATCGCATCAAATAATGTATTATTAAACAGGCACTAACTGATATATTAAGATTTTAACTCAAAAACCAAAACTCAAATCCATTTCATGATTTGTGAAAAAAAAGAAAAAAAATAAAATATAAAAATTTCAATTTTTTAAAAATGGGATAAACGGGTTAATGGGTTAAAATGAAAATGTTTTAGGAATATAGGTCAGGTCAGGTATAAGTCAAGAAATTTGCATAACACATAAATGGGTCATAAACGAGTTAATGGGTCAATTTGGATTGAATCATTTATGACCTGACCCAAATCCAACCCGCCCATCACCCATTTAATAGGTCTAGTCTTTGTAGACCGGTTCATGGAACCAGTGGGCGGTTCCCGATTGCCAATTTGTCAAACTAGCCACCTTGGAACCAATCATCTCTAGATAATAGTGAGGATAACTACCAAATCGGTCTTAAACTTATTGTACAAATGTTAATTTCAGTCATAAATTTTTCAATTTTGCTAATGGAGCACTAAAACTTTGCGCGAAATTTCAATATAATCATTTTGGTCAATTGCTGCCGGAAATTGCTAACGTGGCGTCCAACCATCCCAATCGTCCTATGCGATACGTTGACATGGAAAACTTACTCGAAACGACATCTTACGTGGATTGCCATATCATCAATTTCCAATGGCAATTGGCCGAAAATGATTATATTGGGTGTTCATGCAAATATTTAAAATTATATTGGTTGGAAAGTTTAATACTAAATTGACATTTGTAAAATAAATTCAAGACCGCTTTCATAATTTTTTAGCTAATGGCGAAGTAATGTTCGTATTCGATCATCTTTGAATTCGAGTTGCGATCTAGGGATCATCTTAATTTTATCGGACGTCTCCGAAGAGATTGGAGCTTGTGTTATGAAACTAGTCGAAGTACTCCAAATCATTGTACTTGATCACGAGGACCCTCCCTAAAACCTCATTTGGGCAAGTAATGGTCAAATTTCGAAAATCTAGCGGCCCATTTCTTTGTTTGGTCATAAATCTAGAGGCCCATTAAATTGGTCAACAAAACATGATTTGGAGCTTGGACTATGTCGACCGTCCATCATCAAATTTGGTCCTGGACCACCACTAGCTAGGAAACTGTACAATGCACCTGATGTGATGAACATGAGCTTTGGTCAGACTTAGGTAGTAGATGTTAGATGGGGGGAGGCATGTGAGCTTAGGTCAGAATTTTGAACACATTTAATTTGTCATATAGCAGAGGGGCCTCCATATTTATTATGGTGCATCGGCTCACTAGTCACAAACCCACCTGACCCCCAAATTTTCCTCAGATTCTTTTGCCCAGGACCCGCCTCTCTGCGCTAGCACATGCCATACCTACTACTGATCAAATTTTGCATCACTAGTTCATTTAAGGAACTTTCTTATTATTACGGTCTCACCCTTTGACCATCCATTATTATTATTATTATAGGAAAATTATAGAAAACATTCTTGAACTTTGAACGTGGCACACGTTTGCCCACGAACTTTCAAGTGTTTCACAATATTCCCCTGAAATTTCATTATGCTACAGTTGTAAGCTTTATTTTTTTTTCGGTTATCATGTGCAAGGTAAATTATTTTTTAATGGTAAACGTATATTTTTATTTCATTAGGAAATCTCTCTTTTACTCCAGATACCGTAAAAAATGAAAAAATATAGAAAATGGGAGGAATTTAACTTAAATAAAATTCTAATAATAGGAAGAATAAATATAAATTATATTATTAAACAATAAATTTAATTAAAATTTGATACATAGAGCCACTTTAATAGTACTATTAAGATATATGAAGAAAAATAATAAACGCAAAGAAAAGGGAAAGGGCATCGATAACATAAAGGTCAAATGATAAAATTTGATTACTCATTATATATTTTATATAGGGTTAGTTAATATGATAAATGATCGACCAATAAAAATATTTTAAAATATTACAGAGGCAAATAATTAACTGAAATTCAATGTGATTTTTTTCCCAAGTTTTTATTCATCAGTCCTTTTTACATTAATTAACCATTTAAAGTACATAATGAGTATCCTATTTTTGTAATTTGACCTTTTTGTTATTGAGGCATTTTCCATATTACCTATTGCTTGCATTTTCTTGTAATATATTATCAGTTCTATTAGTATATTCATCAAATTTTAATGATTCTTATCTTTTAATATTATTATCAATTCTTATCTCTTTTATGATGTGAATATTTTAATTCATTCATTTTTTCCAATTTCTTTATTTTTTTTTCAAAATTTCTATAAAGATCGAGGGTAAAAGAGATTTCTTTAAAATTATGAGACGAAAATCCACTTTTATCCCTAAAAAGTAATGTGCATTGAACATACTAATGGAAAATATAACTGAGGGTTAACCAATATGACAAAATGAAAATTCAGGAGATAATGCGTAACGGTTGGAGATTTAAGAGTAAACATGTGTCATTCCCATAATTCACAAAAATTTAACGTAAGTTCCCCTATTATTATTATTATTGTCTTATGTTCTTTCTCTTCTCTGGCCAACATAATTGAGAGGATCTTATGGGTATTCCGTGAAATTCCACGCAAGTGTTTCAACACCACCCCACTTTGAACTTCATGAAGGACATAATTTGCTCGCTTTTTAATATCTACTTAAGGATTTGGGTAGAGGATAGACAAAGAAAATATTTGCATAAGATTTCCTATACTATTCATTGATATTTGAAAGTGGATTTAACCGTAGGAGCTTTGTTGTCTTCATAGTAGTACATCATGGATAGTAATGACCGAAGAAACCTCATCATGAAAATGGTACTATTATGATCCTCGGAAACACCAATTTACTATTCAAAGAGCGTCTCTATTTTTTTATCTAAACTGCAGTACCGTACGAGCATGGATCCTTAATGAAAGACCAAACTCTATTCTCCCGTGATCCAACGGTTCACCAATTATCAAGATTCACATTAACGTCACATAAATAGGAGGACCACTAGCAAAACCAAATGAGTCTCGGGGGCCCTTGGATAAGAAAAAGGCCTCTTTCATGCTCATGCTTCCCACAAGATTTTGAGTTTCCGCACTTTTCCTAGGTCTCCCAAAAGCAAAAAAATCTAACCTGAAATTCTCACCTTTTTTGCCACATCTAAAGTAGAAAATGCAGGCATTTTGGGGGGTGGGGGTGAAAACTGAAAAGGGTGAGATTCTGAGAGTGACCCCGAATTAATAATTTACCTGCGAAGCAAAATTACGGTGCCCCACGTTCGGCAGCTTTTCTGGTGTCTTGTTCCTGCGACCACTGTACTTGACAAGAACCGCGAAGACCTTGTCGTGTTTTTCTGTGAGCTTTTTCCACGAATTTTCATGGCCCCCCCTCTTCCATAAAATATGGTCACGATCGGTCGTTTTCGGGGAAGAGATTACGGAGCCACGGTTCATTATTTCGCCTAGGCCTGGTCTCTACGGGTACGATTTGCACTGGTTCTTATTGTGACATTAAGTAAATACCAAAGATTTTACTACTTTTTTTTTTTGGTCAATAAAGATTTTACTACCCTGACTCACAAAGGACTTTCATGTCTTGCATTTTAGAGTTGCTACTATTAAAAGTCTCAAATTAATGCTCATGATCCATTTACCCAAAACTAAAACCCATTACACATTCTCTAAATTAATTTTCCTCTCATGAACAAAGTTAGAGACTTGAGGTGAAAATTAATTTTGGATAGATTTGGATCAGGAAAACCAGTTTGGAATCTTTCGCGAGATGAAAATTCGTTTAGGGACAAATATGTCAAGAAATATTAATTTAAGATTTTTAATGATATTAACCTTACATTTTCTCGAAAAAATTCTCGAAAAAGATTATTAAGGGCAAGAAAAGATGCTACGTCAATAATCTAGGCCTATTTTAGATATGCGTGAAATCGTGTCTAGTTGTTTGTCTTGTCGAGGAATTCGAGCTTGCTAGAACTCGGCTCAATGTGCTTGTAAGACTAATCTAACCTAATCTTGCTTCCATTTTTTAAAGAAACCTTTGATAATAACAAAAATATACATGAAATACCAAAAGTTACATAATATTTGAGCTTACAAAACTCGAGCCTATTTATACTTGATTTTAATTGAGTCAAGTTCAAGCATCTCAATTTTCTAATCGGGTTGAGCTGGAGCTGGAGCCGACGAGCACCAAATGTCATTCGAGTTGACTCAGCTCAATGACACCCCTAATTCTGAGATAGGGATAGAGAAAGGTATGTGCGTTTTCTTGACGAGGTTGTAATCCCTCTTTTCGTCTTGTTTTTTTTACTCAGAAAATTTCCATCCTATTTAAACTGTAATTTGAAGTGTATTAGTCTGGTCCTCGCTCGTATGCGATATGGTCATGTGCAATTATCATTGATCACTCCCATTAGATATCATGCAGCTACATCTACCAACTACTCTTGTCCAAAGATATCTCCATTATCACAAATATCCAATCATTTTCTTATTAATGAACTAGTTTGTCTTATGTTAACCACGTCGTTATGTTAGCATCTCCTAAATTTCCCAATCGAACGTAACTGAGCAAAGAAAAGCTAAATTTACAAATACCCATTAAAATTTTCACACGCACCTATCAAAAAGAGATAAAAAAACACAACCAATTACCCAAAATAGATGAAATGTCAAAACGATTTTCACGTGAAATGATTCACTAGATTCATCCGTAACATTTAGATTTTTCCAAATTTCACAGATTTTGACTAGTCCCCATCCCGCATAGAATCCCCACCAGAACAAGCCAAATCTCACGGGTTGGGCCAACCGAAACAGCGCCAAAACGTGGACCAGCACGTGTGCGCAAGTGACCCCAACACGAACACCTGATGCAATAGTCCCTCTCGCTCATCGGCCGCACCAGAAGAAAACAAGCAGATTCGACAAAAGCATCATCAAAAGTCAATCGAACTGTGCATGTGCTATGATAAGCTGAAGAAACAACGCTCAGTTCTCTCTCTGTGCTCTTGCACCTGCGATAATACCAGCTCTCATTCCACTGATCTTGAAGCTAAAAACATACAAGTGATTACTCAAACAGCATCAAGGACCAGCAATAATCAAACCCCAAGAAAGTTTTTCTTAAGCTTAAAGCTGAAAAGAGCAAAATTTAAGAGTAAATACACACTTCTGCTGTAATGGAGACCGATATTCGAAAACTGAACAGAAGACGGAAGAGGGAGAGAGGGATTCAAAGAGTTTCCCCTCAGTCTTCAGCCTCTCACGGCCAAAAGTGAAGGAATCGCAGCCAAGTTGGGGCTTGGCGTGGCGTTATTGCTGTTTCTTCTGGCGAAGACGCTCTTCTCTCTCTTCACGTCCTTGGTATTCGCAGGCCTCCCAAAAGCTCTCATGGGGCTCGCGAACGCCCAGCCCCAGCTCTTGTAATGTCTGGGCCCTCCGTGAACGGCGGCCGACGCTGACGACCTGCTGCTGCTGTTGGGGGCCATTTCTTGATCGGCCGAACAACCTGCCGACACCCAGTGCGACGAAGAAGATGAGGACGACGATGACGAGGCCATCGCCGCGAACCCGCCGAAGATCCCACCGCACCTCACCCTCTCACCGCCGTGCGCGGCGGAGATCCTGGGCTTCTGGTGGCCGCGGCCGCCGGCCTCTCGCTGGGACTCGACCCGCCTGAGAGTGCAGTCCCCGAACCCGGTCGAGATCCGCTCGAAGAAGTCGCCCGAGAAGCTCCTGCTCCCGCACCCGACGGATCTGGATCTCGAGACTTTCCTCTCAAACGACGTCGCTGCCGAAGCCGAACTTGAGCCTGCATTGTCGCTGCCGCCATCTTCGACGACGGGCCCGTTCATTGCACTGGGCGTGTATTGCGATTGCGATTGCGACTTCGAGTCTCTCCTCGCGACCGCACCGCCAGAGCCAGAGCCAGAGCCAGAACCAGAACCAGCAGAGTAAGAGGAGAGATGGAGGAAAGACCAGAACCCACCTCGCCGCCGAGGGCTAAAGTCGTCATTGCCCGCCTCCTCGTCCGGGAACCGCCCGCCGCCCCGCCTCGGGGTCGCTGTGGACTTGCTCCGCTTGAATGAGATCATCTCCGCCGTCGGCGTGGCCCCGGCGGCGGCTTTCTTCTTCTTCCGGCTCTTGTTCTTGGCCAAGAGGAAGGGCACGATCCTCGCAGCCCTCCGGGCGTGGTAGACGTCGCCGCCGCCACCACCGTCGCGGCGGCCGGAGGGAAGTGAAACGGCCGGGCCGACGGCGACCGAGGAGGCTGCGGCGGGAGCGAGCGCGGCGGCGTAGCCGCGGGGGCCGGCACCGGATCTGAAGTGAGGGGAGGAGGACGCGGAAGAGGAGGAGGAGGGGCGAGGGAGGGGGAGTGGGGAGGCGGAGGAGACGAGCTTGCCGAGCTTCTCTTGGAGGCAGAAGGCGCAGATCCCGCCGAGGTTGCTGCGGAAGGGGTGGTCCGCGCACTGCATTCCGTCGCCGGCGTCCTGGTCCTGGTCCGCCGCGACGCCGTTGATCTCGTTGCCTCCTTCTTTGATAACCTCCATTATTATGGCTCCTCCTTCTGCGCTCTCGCTCGGATCTCTCACTTCTTTCTTTTACTTTTGTGATTGTGGGTTGTTTCTGGTTTCGAGGGCTGAAGATCTTCTTGTGTTGGTCCGCTGCTATGCTTCTCTGGTTTCGTCTGATGGGGTTTCTTGATAACGTGATGTGTGCGACATGAGAGATAGGTAGAGATAGAGAGGTAGAGAGAGAGTTCCCAGGAGCACGTGGAAGACTGACTTACTCCCATGTCAGTAAGAGAGAGAGAGAGAGAATAAGACAAGTCATATGGAGATTTTCCGGACCAGTCCTTAAAGTAAAGCTTTTTACTTTGCTGCAAACGGAAGCTTGGATGGGCGGAAGCCGCGAAGGTGGCCTTATGCAGTAGGGTTTTTGTTAGGGGGTGCCCCCGTTAATCTTTTATTGCATAAATTACAGCACCCAATAGGAGGATAGGATGTGTGTGCATCTTGAGGTCTAAAACTAATGTAATGAGATCTCAAGGTTTTATTGGGTTCGCCCGTCTTGAGCGTCGAAAACATTTGACCTAGACTATCTAAATATTTTCTTTTATAACATTTGACATTGCTGTGGGAGCGAAATGCGCGTTTGCCTCCGTGAAAATGCGCACGTAAATTATGTTAGAAATGTCATACATCGGAGAATTGGTATCATAATTGACCCATTATTCATTAGTTTAAGTTTTTTAGTGAATGCGTGTTTAATGGATATGTTGACAGGTTCGGACTTGGGCTTCCTTTTGGCGATCTTCCCAAGGTGAACATACTAGATTGATTAATCTATAACTCATTGGTTTAAGTTTTTGAATGATCCTCCACTTCCGCCCCACCCTGAGTAGCACTGGGGCAATGAGAGCATGTGTGAGCTCGACAACATAAGGAAGCACCCCTTCCCCAATCCCCATTGCCTTATGGTTCGCCTCCCTTTCCAACCCCCCACTCTTGTGGCCATCCTCTTCAATACGCATTTTTCGTTACTCAATATGGACAAAACAATCAAAGATACTTGATTGCACTTTCGGGACAATTTCTGGACTCAAATTCAATATTTGAAAGTTTTGAGATTTGATTGCGTCTATATTACAAATTTTAGGACTTCTTATACATTAATCACGTGAAAAGACCAAAAATCCTCTTCACTTTTTACTGAAGTACCATACTAGATTTATGTATAAAATTTCATCTTTTCTACCCAAAATGTCCTTGCCGTCGTATTAAATACAATAATTCTCCAATTAGAATATGCTAACTGTAACCTGGCTTTGGCCGTCATTGCCCTACGTCGTCGCAGTCGCATCCTCCGTCTTGCTCACTACTAGTTGCCTTTGCCGGGAGCACACACACACGCTTCATGACATCCTCGAAAACCAAGGTCGTCAAGATATCAAAGACCTCGATCTTAGGTGGTAGACGACTCATGAGAGGATCCTCATAGATAGAGAGAGAGAGAGAGAGAGAGAGAGAGAGAGAGAGAGAGAGAGAGAGAGAGAGAGAGAGAGAGAGAGAGAGAGAGAGATGGGGCCGAGGGTGGCTGCATTGGAACGGTCGCTCGGCGGAGGAGGCTAGGTTTTGTGGGCTTAGGAGTTTTAGGAATTATGGTTTGGAGACTTGGGAGTTAAGGCATTTGTTATTGGAGATTTAGGAATTAGGTACTTTTGGTATTTCGTGGAAACGGCAATTTGGTCTTTGTGGCGATGAGATTTTGTCAAAGTGGTGCTTTGAGAAATAGAAGAGACAAAATGGTATCGAGGCAATATATAAAGAGGACTTTTCCTTTTTTTTCTTTAATAAAAAGGTTTCAAATTTGATAACACTTTTTAACAAAGATTAAAACTTTATTGCACAATTGAAAGATTTCGAACTAACTTCTATGAAACCCTTGGAGAGAGCTTATAGAGTGATACGAAGTTGATACACATCTCTAGATGGTCAATAACTCGTATCGTCAGACCTGAGTGCTCATTTTGGAAGTTTGACTCGCGTGGATTAGGTCAAGTCATTACAAGATGGTATCAAAGTAAGAGTTCTATTAATGGATATGTAATTGGCAATGTTGAGGAGCAATTGTCGAATGAGAGAGCTTGGATAAGGTATGGCTTCATATAAGCTTTTAGGTTGACGAAGGAAAGTGACCGAATCACACACCAAATTGAGGCTGGGCTATATTGGATGATGCTGACAAGGACTTTAGTGTTTTAAGTGAAGGCATTTTTGAGACCCCCGGTTCACATGCACTAAGTGTGAGCTCATAATGTAATAAATAAGTCGAAACTCTTTCCTAAATAGTCACCAATTTGTATGATAACACTTGAGTACTCTTTTTGAGAGGTTGATTCACATGAACTGAGTTGGCTTGTCACCCACAAAAAATTGAAGCTTTTGATGTGATTTCTTTGTGATGTTTAATAGATGGCGGGGTCAAGCTCAAGTTGTTAACTCGACACGATTTAACACTCCATGACAATTAAAGGTAGGGACCGACAGCGGCGTGGGGTTTACAACTAAGCTCGAGCGTTATAGCTCAAATGTTTAAATGGTTGTAGACCATACATTGACGATAAAAATCTTTTTTGCTTGATGTAATCTAACTGTTTGGAGGAAACATGACACGAAGCCTCATGGACCAAGGTGGTGGCCATTCCTATCTTATCAAACCTGCGTTTCATGTATAAGAATTCAATCAAGCGCATTGATCAAACAATGAATCTTTTGTTTCCCAGTTTCGAGTGGCCAGAAAAAAACCTCGAGTGAATCCTTGACTCGAGAAGAATAAACAAAAAACCAGCTTGAACACAACAACGACAGCAGCAATCCATGGGGACCATGCATGGATGCATCCATGGAGATGCATATTTGGCCACAGGACCTACAACTTCTCGTTCTGGGAAACTCAGGTGATGCTTTTCACAACCGAATGTCAATGAACGCACCAATCGAAGGAAAACATTATCTCTAAAACACTGCTTCTCCTACTTTTGGATGCTTTCATCGCTTGCTAAATGGGCCTGGAAGATGTGACCTAAGATCATTGGGGAGTCATCAGAAGGTCATTTCATCTCCCAAGTCCACTGAACTGACCCTACCAAAAGGAGGAAGACGCATCAGAGATTGGAGGGGAGGAGTGGGATCCCAATGCTCGCTCGTTATGAAGTTGACAATTCTTTGGGTTAGTGTCCCTGTGGCAGACTGAAATAGTAACTTTCTGTTGTGTGCAACTGCAGCTTCTATACTGCTCATCCTTGCTGTCCTATTGTCATATATTATCAGGGTATATTTACAACTCAATATATTTCATGGATTAGTAAGTTTTGTTCTGAGTCAGTCCGCGTTCGTTCATTGGTTGAAGGATACGATATATGTGGACGGAATGGTATGTGCGCTTTTATGGATAGTTGAGGCCAAATATTGGGATGCCTACTATCATCCAAAACTAAGAAGTCGAAAGAAAGTAATAATTTGAACTTCAAGCAATTATAAGAGGTGACAAATTCGAGTATGAAAATTGAATGTGGAGAGATTTCGAAGAAAGACTTTTGAATTTGATTGGAACGGTGAAAAGTAAAGGTAAAGAAAACCCAAAGAATTGAATTTGGAATTGATGGAAAAGGATTAATGACACATCAAGACCCAAGTACCAGAATTTTTGTTTGTTTTTTTTAATCAAGTACCTATTCATTTTAAGGGTTAATATAAAAAAAAATCTCAAACTGTTACACATGTGACAAATTTATACCAAATTAATTTTTTGACCACCAAAAACCCCAAATTAGTACACATATGACAAATATATCCCAAACTAATTTTTTGACCATAAAAAACCTAAAAATGGTATATTTGTAACAAATTTACCCTCCTTTAGTTTCTGTTAAATTGGATAAATACTACGAAAAATTACAGACTGATACACTTGTGACAAACAGAGGGTAAAATCCCAAACTAGTACGCCTGTCAACTATCTTAGGTCATCAAACTCAGCAATTTGATGGTAAAATTTAACGAAAATTAACAGATGGTAAATTTGTCATAGGTGTACCGGTTTGAGATTTTTCGTGATAAAAAAATTAGTTTTAAATAAATTTATCACAGGTGTACCAATTTAGAGTTTTTCATTGTAGTAACCTTTTTTTTTTCTAAGTAAGTACTTAAAATTTTGAATAACTTAATGAAATATCTTCGTTAAAATAAGCGCTATGTCACAAGATTTTTGTTCAAAGTTATCTCAACTTTTTCCGAGTTTGCAAGTGTTCATTGTTCAAGAATGTAAGTTGACGGGTGGTTTGTGCGCATTCCTGAAGGTTAGTCGAGTTTTTTATTTTTTTGGTCGAAAGGTTAGTCGAGTTGAGAAGCTTGGATTCCCAATGCATTCCAAAAGTAAAAAATTGAAAAAAGCCAATAAATCGAACATGATATATTTTCACGATAATTTCTGTTAGGAATTTTATATAATTTAGACATGCATGTCTGTTAGAGGATAAAAAAAGGATTTCGGATCTGATTAGTAATTTTCTTTTCAGGACGCTTTGTTTGGAAGAATTTTTAAGAGGTAGAATAGTCAGCGAGAAAAATGTAGGTGAAGAAATTTCGAAAAAAGTAGATTTCCCCATATTGCTTGTAATAATGAAAACTAAAAGCAGAGAAAATCTTAAAAATTAGGGTTAATACCATGAAAAACCCCAAACCGGTACATCTGTGATAAATTTACTTCAAACTAATTTTTTGACCATGAAAAACCCCAAACGGGTACATTTAGGACAAATTTACCTTCCATTAAATTGGATTAATACCACAAAAATCATAAACTGGTATACCTGTGACAAACATAGGGTAAAACCCCCAAACTGGTACACCACTCAACTTGTCACGTGTCATCCAACTCAGAAATTTGACGATAAAATTTAACGAAAACTAATGGATGGTAAAATTATCATAGGTGAAATAGTTTGGGGTTTTTGGTGGTCAAAAAATTAGTATAGGATAAATTTGTCACATATGTACTAACTTGGGATTTTTCGTGGTATTAATCCTAAGAGTTATATTTTGTAAATTTTTTTGTAAATTTACACTAATACTTATATGGGTTGTGATTGTAAAAAAGAGGAAGAGGGTACTATGGTGAATTATTTCTCCTCCAAATCATACATTCTCGACCAACCATATGTAAACATCAAATGATGGCACTCATCGTGAGTTGCTAGCGGAGAGCGTTAAAGGAAGAGCAAGTTTTCCAAAAATTGGATGAGTCGAATATGTGGTCGCGACTACTAATAGAGCATAGTCAACATCTCTCATCTCTCTGGTGAGAAGACTCAGTAGAACGCCAAAATCGCATAGTCACCATGATTGCGATAATGTGGTGTAATCAATCGATTATCATTGTCTATGTTGGGAAGCGAGTGTCGGAAGAATCGACTAA